GCGCCCCAGCGCGCCCCCAAGCGGAGCCTGTCTACACCCGCCCACCCACATCCTGCGATCCACCCTGCTCCCCACGGGCCACGGTGCGCTCACCAGACCGCCCAGCGGCCTCCCTTCCGCCACGGAACTGGACCGGACAGTTTGTTCTGTGACCAAAATGGGATTAAGTGAGAAGTCACTGAGTGACCTGACGCGGAAAACTCGGAATATTTCGAACTACGAACATTTCTATGGGTCAAACAAAAACAAGAAAATTACGCGCTGCACTGAGCGATGATGAAAATGCAGCATAACAAAGTCCTCACAGAAAGGAGCACCCACTCTGGGGCCGGCGGTTCTCCAACTGCTTCAATGCAGAGCGGCCACCTGGCCAGAAATCCCACTGCTCTCAGCCTGCGGCAGGTCACCCCAAATGTCCGTCTGTGGGTGATGGATAAACGGAACGTGTTCTCCCCAGCGATGGAATGTTACTTGGCCATAAACACGAATTACTGATAAATGCTACACATGGGTGAAACTTGGAAACATGGCGGAGGGAGTGTCCTTGGCCCCCCCAAATCCAACCAGGTGCCACCACCAGCCCAGCCCTGCCCGGCCGGCTGTGCAGGCTGCCCGCGGGACACAGCCCTGGCCACCCAGCCAGGCGCGGGAGCCCGGCAGCCGGCGCACGTGACTCCCCCTGCAGGACCCTCGGGCAGTGGCCTCAGGAGGGCTGTGGGTGCCCCTCACGGGATGGCGCTGTCCCCCGAGCGCTGCACACGATCAAACCGTGCCCAGAGTACTGGCCGTCAAAGTGCTCACGCGCTTGACACAGGCCAGCGGCAGCTGGGACTCGCGTGTCCTCTAGTCCGAGTTAACGCCGACCTTGTTTACGGGCCCCGCGGAGGCGTCGCCAGAACACGCCCCTGGCCAGCACGAGTGGACAGAAAAACTCAGGCCTCCGTGGAACTGACCAGCGAACCACCTCAGCGCAGCCCACGCCTTCCGCGGCGGGACTCGCACCTCCCCGCCCCCCGGCCCCGCGCTCGCGCCGCCACTTTCTCTCCACACACGCACGGAGACACACTCGCCCACTCGCGCTCTGTGCCGGCCCGCTCGCTCCGCGCTCCCTCTTTCTCTTTCACTTCGGTCTGCCCTGCCACCTTTTAAAATGTTGCCCCTTCCCTGTGATTCGCCAGACGCCGCGCCGCGGCCCCCCGCGCGCTCGCCCGCTCGCGCCCTCGCCCGCTTTTTGTCTCCGGCGCTTGCGCTCCCCACCTCCGATTTGCTACACTAAGCTCCGGCCCAGGGACTGCACTGAGAGCCGGCTCCGGCGCGAGTGGCCGCTGCGCTTCACGCTCGATTTCCAGGCATTCTTCCCTGATTAAGTATTCGTGTCATATTAATAGTCATGAATATCTGCTATTAGGAGCTCCAGGAACGCTGCCCAGCGCGGTGCTGACCAGCTCGAGCGAAGCCGCCGCTAAGGAAAGAGGGGAGACACGGATGAAGGGACACGCACACGCACACACACTTTTCTTCTCTCTCCGTTTTCGGGGTTTTCCGCTTTTAAAGGACCTTTGAAAGCTCACTGATCACGCGGGATAGAGACCGCGGCTGCAGGCGCCGCTCGCATCGGCGCTTCAAGTTCGGATGGACCAGAGCGGGGCTCCCGCGCGCGGGGCAGCGGCGGCGCCGTGACCGGAGTCCTGGGTGGCGCGGGGCGCGCGGCCCCTTTTGTGCGGGGCGCGCTCGGGCGGCGGGGCGCCGGGGCTCTGCGGGCTTGCTTGGTTTTTTCCACCCTGACTCGTTACCCCAGACTCTTCGCAGATGTTAGTTCACAGTTTTTCAGCTATGGTGAGTCCCATCCACGCCCCTCCCTTTCCCGCAGCAATTCTGTCCTGGAGACCCGGGCGCGGGGCTCCCGAGCCCGCGGGGTACGAGCCCAGTCTTCCCCCGAGACCCCCCCTTCACTAGCATCTCCCTCGTCCCCGGATCCTCTCACTCTTTCCATTCTTCGATCTGCTGCTTCGCCCCCGGCCCCGCCCGATCTCCTTCGCCGCCGTATCCCGGGCGAGTTTCTCGGGCCCCCCCACCCCCTTCTTTTCTCGCGCCTTATCCTTGTGGGGAGATGCCTCCACCTCGGCAGCGTAGTAATCCGCGCGCAGAACCCGCGGCTGACTGGCTGGCTGGCGCGCCTTCCCCTCG